TAATTTAAAAAATTTTTAAGAAAAAAAAAAAAAAAAAAAAAAAAGGATCGTATCGGCAAGCAAGGCATCCTTTCAAACAGCAGGTTGCATTTTAAACAAAATGAAGATCTAAAATGAAACAAAAGGGTTCTTACCCAGCTCTGAATGGTGGTAAACCAGCCACCAGCTGATAGATAATACACCCCAAAGCCCACAGGTCAGAGCTGCACATAAAACAAATATATTTAAGCAAGAAAGTCTTAAAATCTGAAAAGAATAAAATTATGTTTTTGAAAAGCACCTCTTGCAGGCCGATTTTTCTGTTAGCAGCTCTGGAGACACGTACTGCGCTGTCCCAACAAAGGAGTTTGCTCTCGCTGCAAAAAAAACAAAACACATTTTTATGAACAGATCTTGTATAGCCATAGTTTTAGTTTCCTGAAAACTCTCCCCAGCAACAGTCCTAGCCAATGCGCGTCTAAAGCGAGGTGAACTTCTCCAAAAACGCTTTGTAATCACATTTAGAGACAAGTTAGAAGTGGCAACATGCATCCTGTTCAGGCGTCTTATCCAATTTTTCCTCGGATGCAAAAGCTCTGGTATACTTGATACGCAGTTGGCACAAACTGGATTCTACACTAATAGACCCAAACTTTAAAATAACAGAGTCCTCAGGTACTTCTACAGGGTGTTAAACCTAGTGTCCAAATCAGTGATGACATTTCATACTTAAACCTAATCGAAAGGATCAAACTGGATTATTTCAATACTGTCTGTAACTTACATGCAGGCTAAGGTGGGATACTCCTCCAGTCCAGACAGAGTTACTGAGGCCACTCAGTAACTCCCGGCTGGCTCGCCACATTTAGAGGTAGCCAGGAGCTATCGAGTAGCCTTCACTCTTGGTATCGTCTTATTGAGCTTTTGTAACTGCCGTAACATTCTTCAAAAAGCGGCCCACTCCGCCATGACGTCACGTCAAAACATCCTATTCATTCGTGAACCTTGTCAGAAAACATCTGGTTGCTTAACGTTTTTATTTAGTAGAGTTCAGACTAAAAATGGTCGGAAGTTTCTCCCCCAACAGAAGGAGTTGTAAACCAAACTTGTAATTTTATGGTAAACTTGAGGACAAGAGACTTGGATGGATAGCATTATGGAGAAGGTACCCAGCTAATCATTAGAAACCATGGAGAAAATGCTTCCGTCATGTAGCCTAGCATGAACAAAACTGGTTAGCATCTTGATGTTGGTATGCATTTAAATCTGTTGCGTCAGGGAAATCTCCATTTCTCACACAGATAAATCATGATGTGTGAATTCAAGGTCAGTTCCTAAGCTAGCCAATACCGCCAATTATGAGCCCAACTAGGTGCGCTACTTCCACAGACAGAATAGCTCGGTTTGAACAAGCTATGGCTACATTAGCAAAAACAAACGGAGTCACTCCGTTCAATACTCCATCGTATGGTTAAGTTACATCGCTGCAAAGAGTCAAGAGAGACAGAAGCTGCGTTTCCATTAACCACAAAACTGCACAAATTGAAATTACAAAAACAAAAACAGCAATTCTGACAGAACGTTTGATAGGAAGTTTCTGCATTTGGACGAGTTGATTTTTCAGTGATATCCAAATGGACGCATGTTGCAAAACTGAAATGAAAACATTTTCACCAATGCGCCACATGATCAACATCCAAGTGTTACTACTGGCAGAAACAAATACAGGAACTGGTAGGAGGAGGATGGTTTGTTTTTTGTGCACATTTGTAAATTAACCCCCTGCACTGATGCCATCAGTAGCAGAGCTGCTCACCTCCTTCACTGGAACAGGGAGGAGGCGTTATACCAGTATGGGGAATTGGGGCTGCTGCTATCTCCGACTCATCTGGTGTTAAATGTAGTGAAGGGTATAGGGACAAATTACATAAATATCCTGCTGAACATTTTCCTTCACTGATTAAATGCTGGTCTCCAAGCTTGAAGGGGAAAAACTGTTCTGAATGAAAAACACCGATATAGTGTATCGATGTGGATTAATATCAAAAACAACCAAGTTAAAAAAACCTTCAACTGTTGCCAATTAGCTTAAGCAAATAATCAGATTTTATAGTCTTATACATTTCTCTTGCATATAAATTTACAGTCTATGTTAATGTAACTTTTCTGGTAATGAACCAAACTTTTATTGTGAAAATTCAAACTGGTTACTTCCGGTGCCAAATCAGTGTCAAAAATTGAACTTTGAAAACAAGTTGTGCTGTATTACGATGCAGCGGTAAAGGTCTCTGTGCTGCACCCGAAACCAGCAGTAAACATGCAAGAAAACAACAAGACAAGATGCATTCAGCCCAATGGCAGGAGCAGGTTAGGCAGGTCGCTAATCTGCAGGCGTGTGCCCAGAACGGCATCAAGCTCAGAAATAAGCACAGCCATGATAACAAGACTAACACTAAAATCACTCGTTATTTACACACATGATTTAAGCAACAGAAAAAACACATTTAGCCACTCAAACTCTCATTGCCAGCTAAGCTAGGTTGGTTTAATCAACTCACTGGTTGCCTAGCAACGATCTGCTGGGTAACTCAAACTGCAATTTAACATTTTGAGACTAAACTGCAGTTTACGGCCTCCTCAAAAACACGATGTGAAGAGGAAACTAAAAACAGGAAAGTTTGGCAGTTTCTCAGATATTTAAAACAAAACCAACCGTTAAATGCTGACTTTGAAACCTTTTTTATGAAGCTAGCTAAGCCATCAGGTCGATAATCGCACACTATGCCACCCAAAACGTTTGTCTTTTCCTCTTCTGGAAACCTGATTTTATCATCTTTCAAGGCAGTAAGGTTATTATAGCCATCATTCTTCTTTTAAATGCACTAAAAGAAACTTCATGCAGATACATGTGGATGTTTGGTCAGGGAATGGTAACATTTAATTTTTTACTGCCAAAAACGATTCAAAACAAAGATAACATCCCTTTTATTATTGTTAAAAATATTAAAATGAATGTCCAGGAGACAAAATCCAAAACCAGTCAGGAATCCGTTTGTGACGCAGGGGGAATGGATTACTGGAGCCAAGTGGAAATATTTACTGTAACACAGATTATGACTAAAAGCAGCAGAGATGGGCTGAATTGATGTTTTTGGCTTCACGTTATTGAAGACTCAGTTTTCTTTGCCTCCTGATTCAGAGTTTCACACGAAGTAGTGCTACATTTACTGGATGGTAAACCGTCCCAGTAATGATTGCAATCAACCATTATATTGTTGTTTGAGCCCATTTCAAATAAAATAATGGCATAAAAATTTAGGCTTTCCCTCTAAACGTCCAATAAATATAGAAATGGAAAACTTTTCAAATATCCAAAAAACAAATGAACAGAAATAAAATGGATTATGATGCGTCTGTAATCGCTCATTTGACACGTGTAGCTGAGCAAAGTTCAGCCTTTATTTTGAAAGGTTTGCATTTAGCATCTAGCTACGTCTTATTTCCATTTAGCTCGTCAGTTTGAGCTGGGCGTTGTTGATTTGGAAAATATTTAAACACCTTCTGATGGATATGCAGTATGAATACGTTTGTTAAGGTATGAAATGTGTTTTGATTCATTCTGCAGGAGTTGAAACAAACTCAGCCGTTTGGTTTTACCTTGTTTACTGTCAGACGACAACTGTTTCGCTGTTCCAAAATCGGTTATCTGGATGTGCATCTCCTCGTTCAAAAGAATATTTTCTGGTTTCAAGTCTCTGAAATAAAAAAAAAAATAAAAAAATGTGCAGAGTCAAATACCAGCAGAGAGCACAGGAGCAGATCCTTACCTGTGAATTATCCCCTTTTTGTGTAAATATTCTAGAGCACAAACTATTTCGGCCGAGTAGAACCGTGTACAGGTCTCATCAAACGAACCAATTTTGCGAATGTATTTTAGCAGTTCGCCGTTTTTAGCGTAGCTAAGACCAAAATCTATAAAAAGGCCTGTTAAGGAAAACTTTAAACATCTGAGCAGGTGAAGCAAACAGCTGAAAATCCAGAGAAATTTGATGCTAATGGAATAAAAACAACTTCCTGATCAACAAAACTAAGAGCCACCATGTCGTACCAACAACCATCTTCAGTACGGATGGTTTTACTGAGAAAAGATGACTTGTTTAAAATTTACTAACCAAGTTTCTTAATTTAAAGTTTGTACATTTTCTTAAAGTTTAAATGGTGGCGCTCTTATTGGTATGCTACCATGTCATACCAACAACCATCTTCAGTACAGATGGTTTTACTGAGGAAAGACGACTTAAAGTTAGCAAATGTAATCTGGGGATTATTTTTTAGATTAAGTCACAATTTTCTAGAACAAGTATGTGTGTATATATATATATATATAAATGTGAAGCATATGAAGCTTAAACTATGCTACTTTCTAGGCAGAACATATTTACAAACTAACTTTTTTTAATTTTGAGTGCAAAGTGACTCTTTGTGCAGTTTTGGCTTAATTTAAGTATTCTCCATGAAATCAATTACTAAATTCAGGGTCAGTGAAATCTTTAAGTTGGATAAAGAACAAAGTGCTTTAAAAATGACTTCAGCAGATAACAAAAAGGCTGAATGTTGCCGTTTTATCCTTCTGGAAACCCCAGAGTTTGGTTACCAAGGGAGCAAATACACAATAACTAAAACTAACCACACTCACTGTTACTATAAGCTCCAGAACTGGTCATTTTATAATTATAAAAAGTCAGTTTTACAGTGACTCATTTCTCGCACAGTGTGACATCACCTCTGGTCCCAACATAAATAATTATTAACTGACCGTTGAAGAAAAAGAGAAATATTCAGAAAGCTTTTAAAGGAGCATCAGAATGAGCGAGGCGCGTCTGAAAACTGTCAGCCAATGAAAGGATACACAACTTCTCATCGTCTTGAAACGTGAAGTAGAGCTTTACAAAGAACGGGTGATCAAGATTTGACATCAAATCTCGTTCTCTTTTCACGTACTGGACTTTGTTCTCCTTCATAATGTGGCGCTTCTCTAAAATCTTAACTGATGAAGACAAAAAAGAAGAAATATTTAAAACATACATTTTTACTAGAAGACTAACATTCAGTTAATGGTTGAGTCATTACTAACTTGCATATTCTTTCCCTGTGGCCAACTCTTTTGCAAGAACAACCTGAGGAACAAAAACAAGGAAAACATTAAATACATTAAAGTTGCAGTTTGTAATTTTTATAGAATATGTACGTTTTAAGTATTTGTTGAAAATGTCAGTTTGGTATGAGACTCCTCCTCCCAATGCTAATTACAAACAGCCAATCAGAGCCAGGAGGCGGGTTTTAGTGCTGTCAATCAACCTAGTAAAAACGGTAAAACTGTTTATCCGCCGTCATGCTAACCAGCCTTAGCATTCATGACATTATCTGCTATGATGTAGCCAGAGAATGCCAACTGCACCACAGCAGAAAATGCCAACATTTGGGTAATAATTGGCTATAGTCATTAGCATTCTAGCAACCACATAGGCCTGTCAAATTTTGCTGGATGATCAATTCTACCAGAAATGGTGATAATTATAATATTGCCATGCTATAGCTGAATGTGGCTAGCATTCTTTGCTAGCCACAGCATAGCAAATTATTAACCAAAGGTTAGCATTCCATGCTAGCTGCAGCATAGCAGAGAATGTCATGAATGCTAAAGATGGCTAGCATGGCAGTTGACTGCGGATAAATTGTTTTCCACCATTTCCATTAGCATATTTAGTACGTAAAGATGATTGATAATCCAAGCCCCGCCTCTGATTGGTGGTTGTTGATGCATTTGATCAGACAGCAGTAGTAACCCAGAGAGGAGGAGGCGATCGATCTTTTCAGAGATTTGTCTCATAACTGTAACATCATGACAGTTTTAACAAATATGTAAAAACATTTTCAATAAAAGTTACTCTGCAGCTTTAATAGCTGCACCAACCAGATTTAAAAAACAAAACATCTTTTTGCATTCACCTCAGATGAACTGAGGGTGACTCATTAATCAAAAGAATGCTAGCATGTAGCAACATCTACCCTAAAAACAGAGGCAGGAATTCAGCTGCCGTACCGTTGAGAAGGAGCCCTCTCCCAGAATCTTGCCAAACTTGAAGTCCTCAGGCTTCTTCTTGCGCGGCTGCGGCATCTGGGCGGCCGGCTGCGCGCGGCCGTCGGCGCTCTGGGAGCCGCCGGGTGCTCCTACGGCGCAGGGCTGCGGGGATGAGCCCTCCATGTTGGGGCAGTGACTGCTGCTTGTGCTCGGGATGGCGAGTGGCGAACAGGAGTCAGGGTGGTTTCTGGCCATTGATGGATGCGAGCAGGAACAGATGGCAACGTTGGGCTGAATGGGCACAACATCATACTGGAACAGCAAAAAACATCCAATCAGCTGGACGCCTGCATGTCCTACTGTAGAACTTCCTGGGTTTCATAATTCACTTCAAAACAAAAGCCTGTCACCACAACAATTTTCCTAAAAGATAAACTCAGAAATTATTGCGATAAGTGATTATATTAAGTTGAGACAAAGTAATAACAGTAATTAATAATGCCATAATACAAGACACATTCTCAAATATCAATAAACTTTAACGAACATTTAACACAGGAACTGGAAGACATTTAAATATAAAAGATAAATTATGAAGTTTCTGTAAACAAAGTGGTCCTTTAACAAAAAGGTTGAAATGACACCAAAACACCAGACTGAAAACTTTTATCATCCAGTTTATGGTAGAAAAAGACAAATAAATCATGCAAATGTAAATTGAGTCAAATTACACAATTAATGTATTAATTGCAACATCACTAGTAATCTATTTCAATGTAAATGATTAAAAAAAATTTAACAGTTTTGCACACATCTGTACCAAGTTTGGATAAAACTAGTTTGGATGAAACATTTAACACATCTCAAGAAATCAAAGCTTATTTTGGTTATTTAAAATGTCTTCCAATTCTGTACAAAACCAGGGTTTATTGGAGGGTGAACTCATCAATAAATTGTTTCAAACATGTCAATATTGTCATTTACCCCAAAAATTTCTGGAACAATTTATTGTTCAGTAAAATTTGTCAGGTTTCCTCTCAATCTAATGTTTTCCTGATTTATTGCAGCCCAAGCAAATAAAAGTTGAATTGTAGTGCCATAAAAGCCTCTGAAGATCGATTCATTTAAATAATCTGACTTCAGGTTAATGCGTTAAACCAGATATCAGTTCTGATCAATGAACTACTAAAAGTATTTTTTCTTCCATTAAATAAAAGCATCACAATTAGGAACTCCCACATAAATGTTTGTATGGATAAATGCAGATATTTATGTAATGTTTTAATTTTCTGTGATCCAGAATCAATCTGGTAAAATTTTAGGAACTTGATGGGTTTTTTACATGCAACTAAAATACATAAAATTCAACACTGAGGCATTAAAGTTTTAAACTAAAACTTCCAAACTGAAATGCCTCAATCTATGAAGTTGTGCTCCAAATATAATTAGTCAAACTGGAGTTTAAAGTCAATGACATTCAAAACCGCATGTATAGGAAAACTGATTCAGATCAGCATTAAAAAAAATATTGTATTAAAAAAAAAAAAAAACTGTTCACATTCTGGGTACAATATTACAAACTTATACCAAGACTTCAAGCTGGTATATTAGAGGGACATGGTCTGGTGTTGATAAACAAATAACTACCAAGGAGCTGCTTCCTGGCTTGGTGGTCCCACCCGATGTCAAGGTCTCCTCATAGAGCAGCAGCTTACAACACCCCAAACTCTAAATGATTTTATATTTAAAATAAAACAAATGAAACAAAAAGTGAAACCCACCAACGACATGAACCCAACAGTCACGTATATAGTGCTTTCTAACCTCTATACTTGCCGTTTATTTCAACGGCAGTTATTCGGACCAAATGCAACCATTAGTGTTTTTTTTTTTAGCTTTTAGCTCAGTTAGCTTCTCTTCATTTAAAACCAAGGTGTGGCCTTTAGCTGCCCATTCCGGACTTGACTCCATTATTGCCAACTGTCCGTGAAATAACCTACAGACTCCGTTACTGAGTCAATCAACATAATAGCTGGTATAAAGCCGTGAACCAACATTTTCCTAACCATGTATACTTTGGTAACAACTAGCCTGTGCGAACTTTCCATGCTAACCAAGCCGTGCTAGCAGGCTAGCATTAGCATTTGCTTATCTTATCAAATAAAGCCGATGTTCTTTGGAAAACAGCAGCAGTTCTATAGAAAAGCGCCCCTTACATGTCAAAAATGACTGCGTGCGCATGAAGCAGTAAATAATGGTAGAGGATAGTGTTCCTAATGTATATGAACATAAACAATTCAAACTGACATGTCCAACTTTATCCAACTTGTGATTCTAGCTGCATTTAAAGGCTCTTCCCATCACGGTGATACTTTGAACGACTAGGGCGCTTTTTTCGGCAAAGCACCGGCCATCATTGACAGCAAGTTACAAACTTGATGCTAACATTTAACTAGCTTAGCATAGCAAACAACTTCAAACCCATCTGCTGTGTTCAGATTCTGGTTCTCGACGCGCTTTACGTTACTTATGTAGGCTGTTCTGTTGAACCTTTAAAAATGCAAATCGAAAACCACGAAATTGACACAAAAATAGTACCTTCTAGAGAAAGGTTGAACGTACTAAAGCTAACTTTAGCTTGCTAGCAACTGGAGTATCGGTCGAAAGCGCGAACCAACGCCAACACTAGTCGTCCATTGCCGAACAGGGGGGAATAGTCCTATACAGTTTCAAAACACACCATTATACACTCTTGAGTTATTATCTGCTTCAGAGGTAATTAAAAAGCAGGTCGTCATGGACTAATCCAAAAGCCGGAAAGCCTCAGATAGCTTAAACCCTGCGATGCTAACGATGCTAGTGAGTCACAGCGATATTTTATAGACGAAGGCCGCAGATAACTACTTCTTCTGATCCAGCTGCTACACGCCACAATCCGCGCACCGGCTTCGAAGACCCACTCTCGGGAAGTTTTAACACTTACCATCTGACTTGTAGCTCTTGCCATGTGAGTTTTCCGTGAGTATTTATTTGGAATAAAATAATTAGAGAAGCTCCAGTAATGGCTGCCTCCGTGCCTTCATTTTCGAGGTGTGACGTCGTTCCACAACAATGTTACCGCAGGACAGCAGAGGAGAGTCCTGCCGTGTCAGTGTCCGCCCCCACCGCCACGAACAACCCGCTGAACTTTATAGCGCAAGGCTCGATCATATTCGCACAACATGTGGCCTGCAAACTGCTTGGACCGCACACTGGAACTGGGTTTTATTTATTCTGCCATCAGTGTGCAACAACCTAGTTATGATTTGAAGACCAAGTCATGTAGTTCCTGAGTTGGGCCATTCTAGTGTGATCCAAACACATTAAAAAAAAGCCATTTGTTTAAATTTCACAAATCAAATAATCGTTTTAAAATTTTTATTAAAACTATTAGAAAAATCAAGCCAAGTTTTTAAAGAGTGCAAGTGCAGCACTATACCAGTTCTAGGTGCATAAAAAGCTTTTAAAAAGTACTTTATTAAACTTTTACAAATCAAATAAATGCTAAACAAACCAAGATGCCATTAGTATACAACAATCTAGTCCAGATTTGAAGAGTCTAAATAATGTAGTTCCTGAGTTGGACCACTCCTAGTGTGATCCAGATGGATAAAAAAAAAAAAAAAAAAAAAAACTTTAAAATTGCTTTTTATTCAACTCTTACAAATCAAATAAAACTTGCATCAAAGAAATGATTTTAAATATTCTATTACTATGCAGATGACATCTAGCTTGTTTTACCCCAAGGAATCTGGAATAGTTAGCTTCACACACAAAGTTAATTTTAGTTGATACAACTTGCTATAAATTTTTGTTCTAAAGTCAAGGAATTTTGGTGAATTTATTTATTCACTGCAACTATTAACATACCTGGTAAAATCATGGTGAATCTGATGTTTTGTCCTTAATAATTCACTTTTAGTCTTGTGTAGTTTATGTCTTGATCGGTGTTTCCCAGCCTGGTCCTCTAGACTCACTGCCCTCCATGTTTTAAGTATTTCCTTGCTTCAGTCCAGCTGATTTCAATCAATGACTAATTAACAGGCATTTTCTGAACCGCAATCAGTTGAATTAGGCACGGTAAAGCAAGGAAACCTCTAAAACATGTGGGACAGTGAGCCTTGAGGACCAGGGTTGGGAAACACTGACCTAGACCAGGGGTGTCAAACTCCAGTCCTCTGCTGTCCTGCAGTTTTTAGATGTGCCACAGGTACAAAACACTGGAATGAAATGGCTTAATTACCTGCTTCTTGTGTAGATCAGTTCTCCAGAGCCTTGCTAACGACCTAATTATTCTATTCAGGTGGTGCAGCAGAGGCACATCTAAAAGTTGCAGGACACCTGCGGTCTAGATGGTTTCTACATGCTACAAAAAAACTACATTTTCCATTTTCAACACAATAGCTTCATTGCTTGAAAATCATTGTATCTTTAATTTATTTACAGTATTCCAACTTTTAATTGTGTTGTTATTCAAATGCACTACACAAAAAAATTAGGAAATTTTCTAGTCTTTTCTGGAAAACATTATTAGTCTTCATCTTCATCATCTTCATCTTCACGCTGTGAAAGTGTCGACTCGTCGTTGATTCCTGAGTTTTCAGGCTCTTCGCCATCTTCTGATGCGTCGCTGTCTTCACTGGAATCATCATCTTCAACGACACTAAACAGAAATCACAATTTAATGTCAGGAATAAGACTGGATTTTTAATCTAAGTAAAAATGCTCATCAAAGATACAGTTATTTTCAACTTAAATTGGCTTAGGCTTAAATTTCATAACAAAACCAGAAAAGAACAGTTATGTTGCACAAGAAAAGGAAATGACCCAGCATTGTTTATATCTATATAGCAGATGTAAAATCATCAAAAACACGTTGGAGGCAAAACTTTCTAAAGTTTTCAGTTTATGCATCTCAATTTTCAGTTACCCCAAAATGTTATAGACAAAAACAATGAGGCAGGTCTTTATCCTCCTGTACATCATCACTATCAGGTTTTATTGCATTGTTTTGGTGTGGAGCTCTTCAGATAGCAGCTTAACCAAACGTTATTCTGCTGTGACACCAAATAAAAACCAATAACAGCAGCAGGTCAGGATGTCAAGCTCCAGCAGCATCACACAACTTTCTCCACTGCTTAACACACATTTTATCTGAACTTTAACATGTTTGTGGCTAAATCTGAATTTATTTAACGCTATGAAGCGTTTACCTCAGAGGTCTGTTGAGATTTCTACACTCCACTCCAGAGTTAACATCAAACGGGTCTGTAACAAAAACAAAATTTTACTGCAAATTATATACCTCTCTCTAGTAACTCACATTTTCCAGGTACATAGCACCATTTTATAGCACATGACTTAAAAAGAATTGACTTCGTAATTCAACGCCTTGAAATTGGGCCTCTATCTCTTTAAGAATTTCTGCTCTTTCTGAAGCTCCGCCTCCAGGAAGTCGTCCCAACATGGCTCCTTTATTAACCCTTTAATGTTTTTACCAGCGTTTCTCTCAGCAGCAGCTCCTATAATGAGCTCAGCAGCTGGTTGCTAATTGCTGCTGGCTAGTCTGAAGGAGCAGAGAGGGGGAAGAGCTGTGCCTCAGAGGCGGGGCTTGGTCCACCCAGGCATTTTAACAGCTGAATGGTTGCCATGGAGATTAAAGGATTTCTGAACCATGCATGAAAGAATCAAAGCAACCCTCAAGGTTTGATTCTTGATGAAGGAAAAACATTAAAACATGATGGGAAGATAAAAAAGGAGATTTGCCCCTTTAATACTTTTACTTATTGATCAGAGTGAAATCTTAAAATCTTATTTGAAATAGAAAACAATAATATTACTTTAGTTCTTCAGAAAACTCAAACTTTTCAATAAATAGGAAATATTTGAAGTCATAGAAACAGTAATAAGGCTGAGATAAATAATTTCCGCCGTTTTTTACCAAACTCTTCTTCTTCCGGTTTGGACGTGAGAAACTCCTTCTCCACAGTCAGCAGCTCTTCCTCAGAGCGACATGCAGCGTAGCGGTCAAGAAGAACTCTGTTGAGTTCAAGAAACACCGTCCCCCACTTGAATTTCTTCAGCAGGAGAACCGCCAGTTCCTCAAACCCTGCAGCAAACCACAAACACCTGCAGCACACTGATGGAGAGCTGAAACGTTTGCAGTGATGCAACACAGTCACTTCTCTGTTGATCAAGGCTGCAGCTAATGATTAGTCTATTGATTATTCTATTGATTAATCAGCTAAAAACTGGGCACATTCTGCAGATTTTTAATTTTACCAACTGGGTACACTAAATGATGCAAACAAACAATTTAATTCTTTTTTAAATAAGAAAAAAAACATTTTATTTGCAGCATTCCTTTAGTGAATTTGAAGCAGGTGAAGCTAAAACTGCCACTAAATCAGATTTAGATAAATGTGTTTTAATCATAAGTGCAAAATGTATTTATTTTTTTATACAGTTTTGCCTTATTTGTTTTGAATATGTTGTTTTTGAGTCTGTATACTCCAGTTAATGATTAACTGATTAGAAGATTAGTTGAAAATTATTTCAATAATCGATTAATTCTAATTAATCCAATTAATTGTGACTGATCATGATTAATCATGTTAGTTGCAGCCCTATTAAATTAGTTGACGATTATTTCAATAATCTGATTAATCACAACTGATCTGATTAATCCGACGAATCGTTTCAGCCCTCCTGTCGATCACTGCAGCCTGAACTCTTACCGACGATGGCGAACGTGGCGGCAAACGCCTCGACACAGGACAGTTTGCAGGGCTTGCCGTAGTTGACCGGGTTTGCGGCGACGAGGTACGGCAGCAGCCTGGGGTGGCTGCCCACCATCTTACTGAACGGCGTCTCGTCCAGTTTGGCCCAGGAACAGTCGATCACAGCCAGGCCGCTCTGAGCCACAATCTCTCTGCAATCCGATCAAACATCAGAAAGACGAAGGTTCTTAGAGACAGATCATCACCAGAGAATGAGGAAGAACAGCTGGACGACATGGCTGAAAAAAATCAGTTGATATTAATAATTATTGATTAGTGTTTAAATATCTGAAATACAACCAAACTGGTGGTGTGACCTTTCCTGTTTCGTCCAGTTTTCTCTCTACGTCGTTATTATTTTTTAGCAGTTATGAAGCACAGTGTCAAAACCTTAAACTAAATTTTATTTCAATTATGTATTAATATTGATCATGCGTTGATCGCGGTATAGGTCATTATTGATTTGTCGGCCAGCCCTTGGAGAAACCACTGCATACCTGTCTGCTGGCGTCACATACTTGGTTCCCATGGGACTCAGGATGAGTCCGCTGAACCTCTGGTTGAGGCGCAGGTTGCGTACGAAGCCTTTCCGTACCAGCTTTCTGCCGGTGCAGCGTTTGGGATCGCAGTGACCCAACTCCCACATGGCGAGGGGGCATGGCAGCTTCACCTGCGGGGCGTCCGCTCCCTCCTCTGGGTGGAGGCTGGCTGGAAGGACGGAACCAAACCAGGAGAGTCCGCAGTGAACGCTTCACTTCACCAGAAATAACATCTACATTACTGTATACTGGGAAACGCAATTTATATTCTAAATGTTGTAATCTAAAAACAAAAAAAAGAATAGTCATAAAATTTACAGATCTAATAGTATCTTGTTAAACTAACCATTTGCCATTAAAAGCACAAATTTAATTTGTTTTAATTTTATTTTTTGACAGACCAACTTCAATTAACATATTTGTCAAGTGGAAGGAAAATAACACGTGATTATAATTTTTTTTTTCAAACAAAACCTCCAACATTGCAAAATCTTACCACGTTTTATTTTTGGTCCTTTTGGTGCAAATATTAGCAAACTTCAAATAAGAAAAAAAAAAAACTAAGTCACAAGTAACTTTTAAGCAAGATATAAGAACTTGCTTTAAGTTAATACTTTCTTAATATTTATGAATAAGTACTGGCTTCACTGGCTATTTCGCTTATAAGCAGTAATAAACCAATACTGTTTATTTATTTCCTTTATTTTACAGTTTAAAATAAACATGTCACATGTATTAACAAATTAACCTATAATAAGATCTTTTAGTAGATAAAAATTGCAACAATCTGGTAAGTTAGTTTTCAAAAAAATAATAAGTGAAGAAACATGATTATGATATGAGTACGTAGACGTGAAACACATTTTTTGTTACCTTCTAAAGCAGAGTGCATTTCTTCAGTAAACGTCTCCAATGATTTTCCCTTCATTTTATGCCGTTTATCTTTGCCTTTGCTGTCTGGTCGCACGAACTTGCCTTGTTTCTTTCGCCCCATGTTGCCAGGCTGGGATCTATTTTCAGGCGCTGTCCGCTAAAATATCAACACTAAGCAGCTTCTTGGCGAGCCGCGGACTCTAAATTTCCTTTCCTGAAAATGTTTTCAATTCCATCTGCTCATAAAACATCCAGAAATCCAAACATTTCCTCTCAATCTTAAGTTTTTAATCCTCCTTTTCACTTTACATGGTGGAAAACACGCTACACTGTAGCCTGGGAACACTGCGCATGCTCTCCGGGGTTATTTTTTTTGTCACGTGACCGACCACCTGACACAACAGACGACGGAACCGGAAATGTAGCGATTATTCATCCAAAAATCCATTATGTGGAGTTTAAATAGCGGAATATATGTTTTATTGAGGACATGGCTTGTTTGCGTGTCGCTTTTCTGTAAGTTTTCCATTCTTAATTTTTAGTAAACAAATAGCTGGACTTTTATTTGATAATCGATTTGTATTTTTCTATCCAGTCAGCCTCGGACTGGCTGGGAAAATGAAGATTGTGGAGGAGCCAAACACGTTTGGGTTGGTGAATTAATGTCTAATATGTCTCAGGTTTTCTGCTGCTGTTTTGTCTTCACTGGTTTTCTGTGTTTTCAGGCTGAACAACCCGTTCATGGCGCAGGGACACAGGCTACAGCCCAAAGTCTCTCCAGCGCCTGTGTCTGGTAAAGTGAAATGATCTAATTTAAAACCTGAGACATCCTTAAGGTCATAAAGTCTGATCATTTTGGATACAGCCGCCATAAGCTTAAAGTCAAATTTTATTAACCTCTAAAAATTCACCATAAAACCTTCGGTTCCCTGGACTTCCCTGATGGCGGTTACCTCGTCGTTTCTGGTGTTCCTCAGGGATGTGTGCCGAGTCCCCTGCTGTAAATCCTGTTCATAAACTGAAATGGGATATTTACTTCCAGTAATCATGTACCATTGCTTATTGATTTGAAATCTGAAATGTATCTGTATCTCATCAGCAACTGTAGTAATATTCTCTTAAAGGTCCGGCGCATCTTCATCGTCTGGCAGGAAAGTGCTTCAGTCTCACAGAATCGATGTGAGTGAAACACCCTGACCTGAAGAAGCAACATGCATGTGTTTGATCCATTTCACATCTGATTGCATGTAGAACCAACAACACACCTGTAACCGGCTCTTCTGCAGGTATAAATATGAGTTCTGTCCCTTCCACAACGTGACTCAGCACGAGCAGTCATTCAGGTGGAACGCCTACAGCGGCATATTGGGGTAAGACAACACCAAAACAGATGCTTTCATTAGAGGTTTTAATTTGTGAATTATTATTTTTAAGTGTTTCTGTGGGTCTTTGTTGTTTTCTGGTAGGATCTGGCAGGAGTGGGAAATTGCCAACAATACTTTTACAGGCATGTGGATGAGAGACGGCGACACATGTGGAACCAGAAACAGAGAAACAAAGGTGCTGAAAATACAATTATTCTTCTGCTTCAACCAAAAAATAACTAGATTCCCCCTCTGACCAACCAGGTGACTCATCAGTACTAACTCTGGTTCCTTAAACCTGCAGTATATAACTTTTACAAAAAAAGTTTGATAAAACTGTCACCATGTTGTGACAGTGTAATATGAGACAAATAATCTATGAAAAGATTGATCTCCTCACTGAGCTTCTATTGCCCTCTGATGAAATGCACCAAAAACAACCAATCAGAGCCAGGAGGAGGGTCTTAACGCTGTCAATCAATCCCATGAACCTGCTGCTAAGTGCTAACGGTGAAGAATCAACTTACATTTACAGGAAAATCATTTGTCCTCTATCCCAGGTGGCTATGCTAACTAGCATTGGTGTTTGTAACAGAAGAAGCAAAGAGCAAGCAGGAGACGGGCGAGCATGAGAGTGACCCTCCTCCTGGCTCTTATTGATTGTTTCTGTTTTAGTGGTGTATTTGAATTAAATTTAATTGAATATTTTATTAATCCCAGAGGGAAATTCACAATTAGTAGTGGTCTACTTTTACAAACTCTCATTTAAAAGAATATATTTCGGTTCTAATGAGGCATAAATCTCATCCTAACGTGTTTTTTTAAAATCTATTTTTAATCGCTAGAAATGATAAAACATTTGGTGTTGACATGTTGGTACGGAGCCCCAAATGAACACCTGCTCAGGGCCCCAAAGAGGCTTGGGCCGGCCCTGGGGAAGTGGCGTAGCTGGATTTTAGGTAAAAGAATGAACCCTTGACTAAAGATGGGTCATGTTTTGTTTAGGTGGTTCTGGTTTGCAGCAACAGCAGCAAACTGGTCCAGGTGTCGGAGCCAAGCACCTGCATTTACTCGGTGACCTTTGAGACACCGCTCGTCTGCCATCCACACTCACTGCTGGGTAAGTCTGGGGAAAATCACCTTCCAGAGCGTTGTGCATGTCAGCGCTAATGGCGACTGTGTTTGGTCTGCAGTGTACCCCACCCTGAATGAGAAGCTGCAGAAGGAATGGGACGAGGTGGAGCAGGCTCGCTACGATGGCCTCATTACTGAGCAGGTAGCAGATTAAAAACATAACATTTCTGACCCGCGTGAACATTAAACCCACCAGGCAGAATGCTGCTCATGTTTCTGTTTGTCGCAGGGCTACAACAACCTTTTGAGAGACGTTTTTGAGGATGCTGGACTCCTGAAGAGCAACAAAGTGACGGAGACTGTTGCAGAGGCTGAAACACGTTCAGAAAAACACAACTCCTTACAGAAATGCCAAGAAGTATGCTGATTAGGAATGCAAACAATTTACAATTAATCATTTATTAGGTTAAAATTGTCTTCAGTCAAGGTTATTGTAGTTAACTAAAATGAACAAGCTAAAAACTGAAATTGAGAACATTTTTGTCAACTAAAATAATTAAAAATGGTGTAATGAATGGGAAAAAGTGTAACTAGCTGGAACTGTACTGTCCGTTTATAAAACTAACTGAAGCACACTAAAAATAGATATAATAAACACTGTCTTTGTGTTTATTAATCTATTTATTAGCTTGTCAAACTGATTCCTCCAACAGAAAAGCAGTTTACATCAGTTACCGGTAAATTACAGAACTCCGTACTGGCAATGCTACTCTTGTCTGCAAAATGGCGACAGCAAAAGTAGTTAAACATCAGTCATTTATTGTTCAACAATAATTGGATAAATGTTTTGAAATTTATATGTACTTATTACCCAACCTTAGCATACATAATTACGATAAAATAATTATAGAAATCAACCAAAGTACTGCTACCATATTTTTTTTTAAAAACCTGGCAAACCCACTCTTAAACTAATTAAAACTAACTAAATTAGACGAGCGAAGTGTCACAACGAAATAAAACTAAACTATAATGAAAAATCCAGGACATTTACAACGCTGGGTCCAATCGATTAACTAACTAATCACATCCGCTTCACAGTTTTTAGTGTGGTAGTTTCGTCGCCATCCAGCAGAGGGCGCGGCTGGTCATAGCAAACCCATTTGATACTAGATGGCGGAGTCCGGTGTAGGATTCAAAATGCACTTTATATGGTTCTGTTTTAAAATATAAACACCCGACAAGCCCCTTTAAGGAGTCAACTTAAATTACTTAATAGCGCTCATTCAGCCGAGGTGCTGCATGACGGAGAAGGGGTAGCATTTTATGAAACATTTAGCACTTTATGCTACGGAAAGATTACATGAGAAAACTTAAAATGGCGACATATCAGTTAAGTTTGTCGATCAATAAGATCGGTTAACTTTAGATTAGTTCATTAACCGCATTCCTAATATTGGTTATCTAAATATATGGGTGATATTTATTTGTATATTTTTGCTTGGCAGGATTATCAAAAGCAGAGTGAAGAGGTAGCGAGGCTGCGGGCTATCCTCACCCTGAATAATATTTCCTTTGAGTCACAGCCAAGTACGTTAGCTCAACAACACCAGTCTGTTTATAATGTCTTAATTTTTACTGAAGCATGGCTGTTTTCTGTGTGGTAGATGAGGAGAAAGGTGCAACGACAGCCCCGGCAAAAGATCAACACCTGAGAGGAGACACGGGCCTTTTTGACCAGCTGTGAAGATCTCCATCACAAACAGGATGTTCAGTTTTTTTTCTGGTCAGTTTGAGTCTCTGAGGTCCACAAGAAAACAGTTCCTCATGTTTGGATGTTTTATATGTAGTTTGGACTTTAACCTGTGTATTTATGTTATGTGTTGTTCGGATGCAACAACATTGGAATTAAAACAAGACCAAAAAAATAAATAAAATGCAATATGTTCTTATTAAATACAAGAATAAAGTCATAATATTATGAGGATAAAAATTGAGCGACGAAGTCGTAATAATACAACAAACCCTAACTGATAAATATACCGGATGACTTTATTCTGGAATTACAAGTTTATTTGCTTATTACGACTTTATTCCACAACTTTATTTTCTGGTATTACACCTTGTAAAAACCTTAAAACTTTATTCTGATATTCTTATTGCGATTTTATACTTGCTGAGATTTTATTGCATTTTTTACTAGTTGCTCATTATGACTATTTTTACGACTTTAGTTACTCAACTTTTCTTGTGTTATTCTAACTTTATTCTTGTATTTTTATGACTTAAGTTGCTCCTTATTATGACTTTTCTTGTGTTTCTTGTATTAATACAGTTATTTAGGTAATGACTGTATTAAAGGGATAAAATGATGAAAACCTGGAGATGAACAGTAATACTTCAGCATATTTGATGGTCTACATAAGGGCGTAAGGGAAACATGTCTTACTTCCTCTAAAGTTTCTATTTAATTTCTAAGCTGATTGATCTGGAACACCAGCCATGACCTTAGTTTGACCCCGCTGACTGCACAGCATCTTGAAACATTTCTTACCTTCTAAAATAACTTTTGAGGTTCTGCAAGAAAATACCACAAAGTGCATCTGCTGCGCTGCAACACAGAGGAGGTGTGACAATAAAATGAGAACAGCAGTTCATTTCTGACAGGCAGAGAATGGACCGGACCGAACTGAACAGAACCAAAATAGGAGTTGCATATCAAGAAACGATTGGCTTCAATCAACATTAATTTAAATAAATTCACCGTTTTTATGATGAAAAACCAACTCTTAGCTCTTCAAATTCACCTCAAATCAGAAGCCAGATGGTAAAAATGTGGAGGGATCCAACAGGACATTGACTCAGAACTCATCAGAACCGGTTTTTGGGCTGAATAAAGCAGACTTGCATTAAGTTTTTACATTAGAAAAGAACTCAGCCTTATTGAAAATATAAAGATTTTGCTTAAACCCAGAGATCAGTCGTAATCAAATACATTTACTTGAGTAACATTTTGAAAAAAAAAAGCCCTTTTAAAAATATTTTATTGCTCAAAACCTTTTACTTTTCCTTGATTTGTGAACTAATACTTATACGTTTACTTCTCTACATTAATAAATACTTTAGTTACTTTAATGAGGATATAAATAAAAAAAGCTATTTATTAGTGATACAGCAGGTTGGCTCCAGACCCAAAGGTTCCTGGACCAAATCCCAAGTAACACTACAGATACCTTAGTATGCTTTTAGGCTGTTCTACACACACTACAGAAAGCTATAAGTGCCACAAACAGCCACTTTTACCTCATGTCTGGTTAAGAAGTCACACGAAATCACACTCCAGCTTATGACTGAAAGAACCATAAAATACGGCAAAAATGTCATTAAAATGAGTTTTTTTATACCGTTCTAACCTTGAATGCAATTATTTGTCACTATCATGGAACATTCAATAACCCGAATAAATGCAGTAATTCTTGGAGTTCAGAAGGCAGTCTTAAAACGTCATAAGAAGCAACAATTTGACAGATTTTTTCTGTATTTTACACCATCTTAAGGCATAAAAAGGTGTTTTTTTGTGTAGCTTTTTAACCTGAAGCGTGGTAAAAGTGGTGATTTGTGGCACTTCTGGCTTTCCATACACCTCTGTCTAATACCACGCTACACTAAAAACTACAAAAAATAACCAGCTTCAATTATCAATAGTGGTAATAATGTACACTTGAATATATAATGTATATTTCTGATCCTGTGTGAATGAAAGAACATTTACAATAAATTTACTCTTGATTTTTCACAAAGAAACAAAGCAGTGAAATTATTTAATCTAAAATCAGTTTATAGGAAAAAATGTTTTTTATTATAAGAAACATCAAATAAATGTCATTTATATCTGTGCTAAGTATGTAAATCTGTGTTCAAAACAGATAAATAATATTCAGTAAATTAGAATATGTATAAAAGTTGTAATTTGTGGCACTTCTTGGCTTTCCATACCACACTGCCCAACATGCTACACTAAAAACTATTATATTTCTGATCCTATATGAATGAAAGAAACATTTTCAACAAATTTACACTTGATTTTAAAAAATCAAAATAAAACAGTGAAGTTGTTTACTCTTTATGGGGAAAAATACTGTTTAAGAAAATTTTAAAAAAATTACAATAATGTGGCATTCTTTCCCGTTATGAGTGTATGTAAATTTCTGATCAAAACAGATGAGAAGTTGTACATAACAATGCTGTTTGAGCAGCTTGTTATGGTTCGGGTGAGTTAAAATAACGCAGCGAGTTGTACAGGTCCGACGTGTCCCAACGCGTCCCAAGCATAAACATTCCTGATTTTCCAGCTTTTCATCGTCCGCCTCATCGCGAAAACAACGTTCGGAAGACTCAAATCATCTTTTTGAAACATAGTTTGAGATTCAAAATGTTGCAAACATGAGGAAGAGTTTGTGTTTTTAGGTTTTAGTAGCACAGAAAATCATGCTGGATGTTATTTATAGGGAGCAGCGCGCCTTGATTGGGTCTCTTCCTGCCTCACGTCAGGGCAGGAGTCCCTCAGGGTCAGGAGAAGAGCTGGATGACTTCTCTGGCCCGCTGCGCCCTCTGCTGGACAGACGCATCCTGAGGCACCTTTCCAGATTCCTCCACCAGTGCCAAGGCCTTCTGGACCGTCGTTTCCTTCGCTCGTCCAAACATTCCCTCCAGATACTGAAGCAGAACCACAAATGTATCGTCTGGAACCTGAAGGAAGGGAATTAGTTTGTCTGTCAGATTTGATTAATGTAGAAATATTTTACAGCTTTTTATTTTTAAAAATAATAAAGTCTAACTGTTGAAGAAGGCTGGACAAATTGCCTGAAAAGCTTATCACAGTTTAAGCTTTTCATATCAGTCAATATTGGTAATTGTTAGCCACAACAAACAATAACTCAATTAATCACAAAATTAATTTAAAAACATTTCAATAATTTCCATTTGCATGACTTATTGTTTCCCTCTTCCTACCAAAAGCAGGATGACAAAAGTTTCAGTCTGGTGTTTTGGTCTCAACCAAATGTTTTTTGTTTTTTTTCAAGGATAATTTAGTTTCTTTTATTTTACTTGTTTCTGTTTTATTTATTTTGGATATTTAAAATGTCTTCCAGTGTTAAATGTTTACATTTGACAATGTGTTCTTGGATTATTATATAGTTATTATCATTATTTTAAATGGAAAATGGTCTCAAACAACAAAATTATCCTTTATCGCAAAAACATCTGGAACAATTTATCATCCATAAAAATCTGTTATTGTGACGGGCCTAATAGTTGCTGATTCGTTTTTGGTTTTAAATATTATATTTGGACAA